ATCATCATTATTATATTTGTTATTATGATTATCATCATTATTATAATTATCATTAGTGTTATTAATATTATTAATATTGTTATCATCTATTATTCTTACTCTTATTATTATTATCATTATTGTAATTATATTTATTATTGTGATTATTATAATTTCTATTATTATCATTATTAATATCATTATCATTATCATTCATATTATTGTGATTATTATTATTGTTGTTATTTTTATTATTGTTATTATTATAATCAACGTCATCATTACCGTTCTCATTCCCATTATACTAATGAAAATAATTAAAAATATAAACATGATAATGATTTTACCATCATCATCATCATTATCACCACCACTACAACCACCATCACCACATACATTATTTTCTCGTTTTCTATTAAAATCCTCTTTAAACACACACACACACACACACACACACACACACACACACACACACACACACACACACACACACACACACACACACACACACACACACACACACACACACACACACACACACACACACACACACTTGCATTTCACGTCTAATTGACAAATATAAATTGCAACGCACGACTACTCACTTTCGCGGGATCAAAGTCATTCATGTTTGCCGAGTAATTCCTCAACCTGCGCTCTTCCACCTTCGATTACTTTCTTTACGTATAATTATTTCAAAATATATGTTTGTGTTTATGTGTGTACATCTTGCAATTCTTTGAGCTGGGACCTTTTTACCCCACAGTTACCAAGATGCTCCTTGGGCGCCTCATCCTCGTGGTGGTCGTCCTCGAGCATTGCCGTGCCTTTGAAGGGCAGAGGTTGGTCGTCTCTCAACATTTCCAAGATGGCGGTAATGTCCAAGAAACCGTGCTACGTGATCTGACCTTGAATACAACAGAAAACAGGGAGGGCGATAATGAGGAAAACGGGAAGCGGATTCCTGAAGGCTCTGTACTTAGAGAAAGTATTCGGACTTCACAGATGTGTGATGATTTGAATATTATGGGAGCCAGGAAACTGTGCCCAGATTTAACAAGAAACATTAACGTCCAAGATTTACAGCAGTTCACAGACGAGGAGATACGTCTACTGCAACGGTTGTATTCAAGAAATCAATACCCTTCATATGTCAATCAAGGAAATTCTGTCCACATCCAAGGAGGTTTTCAGAATCCAGTTCCGCAAGTGATCAGTACAGGGGGCTCCCATTCTCTGTTAATGAAAAATAAGCCAATTCGTAGACCCGAATTCCACTACGTTAACCCCCAACCGTCTACTGTCAACTTTAACCTGCATTCAACGCCAGTGCAAAGACCTTCAGTTGGTGGGGAAGTCCCACCAAGCCAGTCAAATGTTCGTCAGTCAACAAGAATCAATTCAAAACTTTTAGCCAATATAACTGCAGCTTCACAGAAATATTTTCAGAACTTGCGGAATTACCCCATAATGCAGAACAGCCATGCCATAGGGGGTCCATATAATCAACCAAAAAATAACAACCCATACCTTCTTCACCATAATAACCATTACAGTAAACAAAACTCTCCATATGCCAATAATCAAGGTTTTATCACAAGACCACCCTACCAAAGGAATGTCCCATCATATACTACACCAAATATTCCTGTTCGTAACATCGTTAATGTGCAAATGCCCAATTCACCTGAAAAGCACACACAACAGAAAGCAGACATGGCAGAAATTTTGACAAATCTCCAGATCCTGACCATCCTAATGAATCAAGATGCGGCAAATAAAATGGATGTAAAAGGGGCGCAAAAATTACCACCTGGATTAACATTTGCTAACAGCGATAGTGTGTCAGAAACTATGAAAGCAATGATGGCAGACCCGAAAGCTCGACGAAATGAAGAAAACCAGCATAGGCATCCTACTCATGGATATACAAGCAGCCCTTCCATCACTTTTAGACCAAAGGGCTTATATTCCCAGCAGCCAGTTGAAGCAAGAACTAGGCGCCCTGATATTTTCCCTGGACATTTTAACCAACCTCCTTTTTCCTTAAGCCCAAATTTTTTTCAGCTTCCTTCAAGAAATTCTGTGAAGAATTCTGAAAGCAGTCGACCTAATCATGTAGGGCAAAAAGCTACAGGCCTTAGCTCTTATTTTCTAGATCAAGGTTCACCTGGACTTCCCAGCTTCCATACAAGTGGTGTTCCTACCTCTACAGTGCCACCAGCTACAGTCTTTGATAGTGTAGGGGCTCTGGTCTCCCCCTACACACCACAAGAACTCTTAGCAGAAAGTCAGTCTTCTCAAAAGAAACCAGTTAAAAATACCTCGGCCCCCAATCTGTCAGAAACTAAACCAGAGAATGATCCTGGCCAAGATGATAGTACTGTTACAGAAACTGAAGAACCTGAAGTTTCCACTGATAATGATAAATTGATAAATCAATTTGCATGGAATCCAAATTCTGTTGCTCCTGAGCCCCCTCTTTATAATGCACCACAGAATCCTCAAGTACAAGGAACACAAGCCTCTATGGATAAACTTGAAGCTCTATATAATTACCTTGCATTTATGAACAATCACCAGACTGCAACTCGACCACCATCAACTATACCAACAAATCAAAATGACCCTTTACCCAGCCTTAATAACCAAGACCTCCTTCTTACATACTTACTTCAGGCACAAGGCATAGGCCAGCCATTACCAGCACCACCACCAGCACTCCAACCAGACACCCCATACATCCCAGCCGTCCATAGTGGCCTGTACTCTGGATTGCAAGCCGAGCCTCAGCCACCAGCTCCCCCTCCATCTTCCATAGCTCCTACAGGAGCATCATCAGGTGTGGGCATCACACAACCACTGTTCACACCTGGTGCATCTGCCTCTAGTATTGAGGACTGTCTGAAAAGCAAGGTATGTGCTTTCTTCCTGGCTGGGTTAATTGCTGCTGGAACAACAACAGCTCTTGCTATACCTATATTTACACCAATCGTTGGTGCTGGACTTTTAGGCAAAAGGCGCAGGAGAGATGTTGATTATCTGGTCTTAACTCCAGAAAATGCAACAGAATTTATTCATGCCTTTTCCAGCTTTGAAAATGGTGGTAATATTAACAAATTAACAAAAGATGAAAAGCGTATCTACATTTCATTTTTGCAACAGTTGAATGGTAATTCACAAACTGTGTTAACTGATCTAAAGGAGTACATAAATAACAATGAAGATGAATTATTGAATTTTTCAGTTAAAGAAATTGAATATATTACAGATAATCCAATACCAGCAGAATTAATTCACAACTTAAAACATAATACCTTGAATAATCAGCTGAACATGCTGAAGATGTTGATGAATCACCTTTCTAAAAATTCAGAGAAGGGAGATGATAATACACAGAACAGTGAAATGCAAGACAATGCTCAAGAATTGGAGAAAAGGACAAACATTGGTGATTCTGAGAAAAACATTAAAATTGTAAAGAGAGATGCAGTTTATGCAGGTGCAAATAACAAAGAAAGAAATATTACAAATGCACAAACTGTAAAAGTAGAAATTCAAAGAAAACATAATGGGACTGAAGATAATTCAACATCCCTGCCTTTAGAAGCAGAAAGTATGAATAAGCTATTGCTGTTAAATACATCTTCGACTGATGAATATAAAAATGTCACACTTTCTGACAATACACAACAGTCAAATGAATCTCGCATGACTCAAAGCCAGGCTTATAACAGCTTAGAAACTGTTCCAGGATTCTCCCTTTCACAAGTTTCAAAACGAGAAAATACTTCTGACAATGCAAACACCATACATGAAAGTAAAACCGCAACTGAATCTTATGGAATTAAGCCTCTTGTCCCTCAGGGTCCTCCTATAACAAAGAACATTCTGCCCACCTCTGTAAAATCACAAGGTACATCATACCAAACTTTTCCTGATGAAACTGGGGCAGTGTATGGGTTTCCACTTATCATTCCTCTCAAAGAAGTTCCTGATCATCACAAACCATTACAGGGTAAGATTCACCAGTTCTATAAGGTGTTATGCACTGTAATTAATTCACCAAATATTCCAAATATTGATATTATCACATTCATTGCTCAGCGTTGTTTGTTACTAGCATATGCAGGCTTGATTAGATAATATCTTTCATGGTTAACAAGTTCAAATCTATTAGCAGTACCTGAAATCTACTGTGAATCAATATTTCCTTTTAGTAGATAATATTCTGTGGGATATAAATGAATCTGTTAAATAGAAGAGATAAAAGCACAGGCACATTCCCAGCCTCACCCCAAAATCACCAATGTATCTACACATCTATACACCATAATAGAATCACATGAATAAATGTGCAGTGATACTGTTTTTTGCTGTTATATAGGATATTTATTATTATGGTCTGTAATTTTATATATTTATACTTCTGTAATTAATTTATTTTCTAACTCATGAATGTTAATATAACAAACTTATTGTGGTTGTATTTATTGTAATGAATAAACAGCTAACAAACCTGTTTTCTCATTGTTAATTCCTTTGCATGGAAAAACAACAAAAATTTGCCTGTCATAAAGTACTCTTCTTTTCTCAAGAAATATCTACCAGAAATAAATAACTTCATTGAAAATCAAACATCTTCAAACACTTTGTCTAATGAAATAAGTAGTTCATTCTGAAACAAGGGGAAATAATACAACATTATCTTCATTGCTCTTCTTCAATATATATACATACAAATGGGCTTTCTATCTACACAAGTAATTGACTGACTAGACAGTTAACAAGGGATACAAAATTTTCTTATCACACAAGGGCATCTGGACATAAGTTACAATTTTTTATCAATACCTTATAACAAGATACTGTAATAACATGAAAATATTAATGCGATTAAGTTAGATTTCCCAAAAATGAAATGTTAGCATTTTTATTTATCATACTTTATTCTGATCATTCCAATCTATCTACAAAAAAAGGAGAAAAAAAATGAAATGAAGAATTAAGAGTAAATACTTGTATTAAAACTAAAAACAATTTGCTCTTAACCTGTTGATACATCTTTTCCCTTGTGTCAGGAATAGAAGCCTGTAATTAGGTAGTCATGTTAACTAAAGATAAAGATTGAAATTGCATTTAAATTCTGGAATGAGCAAATACATTATATCTACATCTAAGTAAAATTTCAAACCTCTGTTTGCTGCCTGTATAGAAAACCAAACTGCATAGCATAGATTATAGATGGTGATAACAGCTCATCGGCACCTTACATTTGTGTTAAGAACATAGTCAGCAATGTATGTAGATTTCATTACAACATAATCACAACAAAGTATTTGTACCACCTACTCTTGATAATATGTTTGATTTTTCAGTTTGTGTATAAATACTGCCAATGAAGAACCCACTGAACAAATCTCAAAGTGAACATAGCAATCTACATAAAAAGAGAGAAAAATAGGTCTTTAGTATTTCTGGCTTTAAAATACTGTACTGAGGAACAATTTTACAATGATAAGCATCTTTTTAAATGTTATACAAATAAAAACAATCACATATTCCGATACAAAGAAATGGTTTGGTTAACTGATTCTTTCCCATCAACCCCCTTCACACATTAAGTAAGGCAAGACTTAATACTAACATGAACATCACAGCAACTAAAACAAATGCATAATTGAGGTTCCTTTGACCGTTACCTTCACTATCTGGTTAACAGGGTATGAGAATCCATTATATATGATAGCTTTGTATCTCATTTTAATTCAAGCTTATAAGATCTTGCAAATTAATTTTTTATAAAGACATTTACTATATGACATTTACACAGCAATTTCTTAAAAAGCAGTGCAAGAGAAAACAGCTTATATTAAGTGCTCATGCTGACAATATGGAAGACTAGCGCCTTGATAACTACATGCCCAGCAAATGGTGACATCTACGTATGCAGTAATTGAATATTTTGAATTCCTTTTATTCTCTTGGAATCCATATTTCTCTTTACAACATTGACATCATATAGATCTATCTCCAAAGTATGTGTGACTTCAAAATCAATTGAACATTCTTTTGAGTTGACCTCAGGATTCTCAGGCAGTATCTTATGAACAAATTGAAAGAAGAAAAAAAAAAAAGTTGAATCAAAATATAACCAAAATAAGGGAAAAATCTTCCTGAGCAGAAAACAGGTATCCTAACTCTTCTCTTCCTGCTGTGGCTCTTCTGGTAACCGTAAACCCAACAGGAAGTGTGATGTGTGTTCATAAACAACAAACGTCAAAGCTGTTGCAGGAACAACTCTCATGATGTTTGGTAAAAGGCCTTTGTAGTAACCACGAACACCATTATGTCTGAAAATAAATTAAAGCTTTAATTTTTGATAATTCATCATAAATGTATTATGAATTTAAGTCATTCACAATTATGCCTTAGATATATGATGTTAAGTGCTCTTTAAGATGCCATTAAAATGTGAACTTCTGTAACTCCATTTCATGTACGTGTGTATGTATGTGTATATATACATACATACATATACATATATGTGTATATATATATATATATATATATATATATATATATATATATATATATATATATATAATATATATATATATATATATATATATATATATATATATATATATATATATATATATATATATATATATATATATAATGTATGTATATATGTGTGTGTGTCTGGATATATGTATTTATATATGTATATATATTATATATTATATATTATCTATCTATCTCTCTCTCTCTCTATCTATCTATCCATATATATATATATATATATATATATATATATATATATATATATATAAATTTTTTTTTTTCTAAGCTTTAAAATAAACTCTCTAATTAATCAATTCCTCACTTTTCTTCCCTAAGATGAAATTCATAAGCCAACACTGAAATACATCACTCAGTTACTTATTTTACCCTTTAGTGGCATATCACTATATAGAACAGGTTTTATTAAGGGACTATGAGTAGCCAGATACTAATTCCTTAATTTTTCTTGAAACGTAACCTGTACTTTTACGAACTTTCCTGAAGCAGTATGCAGATATGATCAGGAATGTCTTTTTCTAGGTAGCTTCTATTTCCTTACCTTTAGAATCTACACTGACATTTGTAAAATCAAAGTCATTAGTTTAGTTTTCTTTATTCAATATAAAAAAATCAGATTCCTCAGCAATATTCATCAGAATTTGAAATGACTGAATATTGACTGCCCTGCCAATTGCAGAGGTTATTAGCAGTGTTATCAGACATAAATGCACTTATGTAAAAATCACATTTTCACTTAAAGTTGATTATATTTACTCGTCTTAAGCATTTAAACAAAACACATACAAATGAAACATCTTGGTCTGCCATTCTCGTACCAAAGGCATTTTCTTTTTTTGATGTTAACCTTGTATCATGTCAATGATTTGAAAGTATACAAGTCCCCAGCTTGTTTGCATTTTCTTTGGGTCATTTTCATAAAATATTTGCTTTTTCATTTTAGAAAATACTTTCAAGATATTTTATCATCTATTCATTGAAAAATTTCTGCCATGGCAACATCTAAGGTCATTAGTGACATATTCAAAATATAGTGATAGGGTGAGGTTTGGGGGCAAAGCCCCCAGGTAACATTTTTTTTTTGGTTCATATGGCAATGGTTAACAGTCAAAACAATTAAATGTGCCAGACATCAAAAGTCATACAGCACTATTGTTGCATTAAGGGCAAATACAATTTAGACAAAACTTGTTACATGTCAAAAGATGTAGAGCACTTTAGGTTAGTAAGGTAGTGAAAAGGGTAGAGGGAAGAGCAAATGGAGTATGAAGCCAGCCTTTCATCCTTTCAGTACGACTCTCACACCTTAGGAATTGGACGGAAGGGGATGAAGAAGAGAAAGAAAAGAAAATAAGAAAAGAAGCCTACACTAATTTACCCGAGGCAAGGGCTGAGGTCCAAGGCAGGGGTGATCCCCTACATTGGGCCTCAGTTTCTGTCTCCAAAGCCTCCCTACAACACTGAGCACGAGACGGGGTGATTACATATAAGATAACTCACATTTGCCAGAAAATTGTCTAAAGGAAATATTTTTCTCTTTAATAGACAAAATGTTATTTATTTTACATTTTATTGTTTTAGTGATATTTTAGTAAAAAAAAATTTTGGATTTCATGAGTTAAAGTTGAGGACTTCAGCTTTTAGGAAAGATTCCTTTGGATTTCATGAATTAGAACAATACCTCTTTAAGTCTTTAAATCCATGTTAGATTTAACTTTCCTTGGTTCTGTGTATTAATCAAATTATTCTACTTTGATTTTTCTACCAATTTCATTTTATAAATTGTTTTATTCTGATCTGCAATGTAAACTGTGCTTAATATTGATCAATCTCTTAAATGAGTAAAGATAGCCAGATCATATAAATCCCATTTCTCTAAGGACTTTGCATCTTATTTAAAAACATATAACTGTCCAGCTCACATTAGAAGTGTGAGATGTCACCCAGGTAATTGGGACATGGACCTATAACTTGATGAGGTGTTACCATCTATCAGGGGTTATTTCCCATGAGGTGATAGGGTATCACCTCCAGCCTGTGGATTAAATAAGGATATTTCACATCCCATTTTATGCTTTTGCTTTTTGTTTTCTATTTTTGCTGACCTCTGGCCATAACTCTAAGTTAATTTAATTTTGTTACAGCAACTACTTCCTGTTACTTTAAATTATATATACATATATATACATATGTATACATATGTATACATATGTATACATGAATATATACATATATACATATATACATATATATGTATATACATATATATATATATATATATATATATATATATACATATATATATATATATATATATATATATATATATATATATATATATATAATGTATGTATGTCTGTATTCATGTAGTTACATTGTGTTAGTGCATAGTGAAGTTGCTTTTTTTTCCATAGACAGGTATCACACATGTCAAATGCAAGTGTCCGAGGCCATGTCTTACAAAATGAAATTACAAGCCATGCCTCACGTTACATGCAACCACTGCAAGAGTACACAGACTGTCATTCCCAAGTGTCACTTGTGATGATGCTCTAATTTCTGAGTGTATGTATTCAAAGTGTGTTGTGGTCGAATGCAAAGATATTCATATTAGTTTTCTGTTTATCTGCAGTTTTTAAACTAAGTTAAACATTTCTTAGGTAAGGTGATGTGCACATTAAGATTCCTAATATGAAATGATTTTTGTTACCTGTAACAAGAAACCAAGAAATAAGAGTTCAGAGTCCTCATTCCACTTTGATTACTGCCCTCTACACTGTCTCCTTGTTTTGTAAAGGATTTTTTGCATCATAAATAAGCTTAACCCAATGCTGCCGGGAAAACGTTGCATTTACTTTAGTATTGTTTTGTTAAATGTCTTTGCCAGTGCTTAGCCACAAAGGAGTCAATTAGATTGTGTGACCTCGCCTTTCCTTAAATAACAGGAAAATGCTTTTTTTTCCCTAATGCTATCAATATTGATATTGTTATTTTTGTTATAAACTTTATGATTACTATATTGTTACTGACATTACTAATAGCAGTATTAGATACTATAAAATATTATCAAAAGTCAAGGAAAAGGGTAAACAGGTGAGACAGGTACTTCTTGTAACTGGCTCATTGGTGACTTAGTACTTGTTCAGCCATCTATATGTAAAAACAATCACTAAATAAAGTACACAGTGGGCATGGCATATATGCACATGCCATCTCCAATGGCATGTGGTTAAAGAGGTAAGAGCTCTTCCTTGAGAATGGCGCATTAAAATAAAGGAACAAAAGATGCGCACAGAGACTTTAGATCACAGACTTTGCAAATATGATTAAATATTTTGAAGATCTCAAATAGTCAACTAATACAATACAATATAATAGAGAAAAAGAGAGTAAAAAATATATTGCATATTATAACTGGGTCAGACTATTCTGTGGTGTCTGATCTCATGAGTAGACTATGTGATTGATTATCATTTCCTGAAATTCAAGGCAAATAATACAAATTATTCTGATGCATTTTGCTACAATTTTACATTTCACAATTTGAAAATGCACAGCTATATCTTTAGTTCAATCCTTTGCCAAAAGTTTAAAAAATGCTACAGAAATACAAAGGAAATAGGAAAATGAGATGCAGAAAGAAGAAAAGAAATCAAATGATTGACCAATGATTCATACCATAAAAAAAGATAACACTGTTACCAAAGTATACTGATAATAGCAATGTATTAACACTACATGGTAACAAGCATGTGCCATTCCATTTCATAATATAATTGTTTGGTAATTTTTTTTTTACCAAATCTAATTCATAGCCTTTTCTGATGATTAATCATGTAACTGAGTATCATAATCTATATGAAAAAGAACGATAGTGCAATCCTACAATAAATCGGATGATACTGTCTAGACTCCTTTGTTTCTCTCAACATATTTTATGAGAAGAGCTTACCTTATAGGAAAAAATTCTTTGTGAAGAGGAGACACGGAATGTCGTCAGAGGGGTAAAAAAAAACTATACAAATAATTACGTTTTTGTATTTTGGTATAAAATATCATAGCCAATATAATTTCCAATTACCATGTCCATAAACAGGTGACAGTTACCTTATGTTCACAGATGTTGAAGAGCAATATGAACAAAGAAGATATATATCAATATTCATAATCATATGTTAGACAACCTTCAATACATTCACACTTTGCCCCATCACTCATCAACACTGTCAGTATTAGATATATAGCTAAGTACTAGGGGGGGAGGGTAATACTTACTATATGTTGTATGTTTATCTACAGTATCATTCAGATATATATATCTAAAAAATGAATATTAACATTATTAAACTGTTGGTCTTGAGGCACAACTTTCCAAAACTGTATCACACCGTTTTCATTCCCCTGTCACTTACAGGCAAATTTTCATATGGTTTGTTCCAAGCTAAATTGGGGATATTCTCTCAACTATTTTTGGACAGGGTTTTCTCCTTTAGCTATGATGAAAAATAAAAGAAACAAACAAAAAGATTCTGAATATCACAGCTGTCTCCTTTCCACAAAGAACTCCATAAATTCAAAGAGGAAATAAATGGGGCAAAATGTAAAAAAAAATATAAAAAAAAATAAAGGAAAAAAACATCAATACAGATGTATTATTCAAAGATAGATCAGATTTTTTAACAAAAATAATTCAATTTCATCCTTAATATATATTTAATATTACATTCTCATCAAAACAACACCTTCGTTCTTATTTTTTAGTGTCTGTGCACTTTTGTAAAATGCAACACAAAACCTAGAGATAAATTTTTAAACAGGTGAACAGGATGTTAATGAGTGTCCATGCCCACATACTGTACACAGGAGGGCATCCCTTACGAATGATATACTAAACTACAAAATAATTAGTTTTGTCCAGCTTACATACAGTGCATAGGATCTCAAGAAGTAAGATACCCAGGTATAGACCCTTTTAGCCTAATAATTATTTGGTCTTTCATAATTCCCATTCCTATGCATATGTAGGTAAGAGTTGGAGTATCACTATGTTTTGCCATTGAAGAAAGCTTTAAGAAAAAAGAAAAATATTGGAGAGAAAAAGAAACTCAATATTACAATAAAATTAACATTTAAACACATTTTGCTTTATGCATTGCAAAACTCAACACATGTGCAGAACTGACTAGAATTGTTCTTACAATAAAGGAAAGGAAATCTGTGATGAAGAGAGCCAGAACCTCATAACGCAGACCTGACTTGTTTGTATGAAAAATATATCCTTTGTCTCACCCTCCAGGGGTTAAGGTCATATCCATGGGAAAGAACTCTCACTACTAATGTATGCAAAAAAGAGAGAAAGGAAGAAAGAAGAAAAAAGCTTGAATTCTGCCGCAATGATAATTACGATAAATACGCCACATGTAGATAATAATCACAGTTTAGATAAGATACCCCAGCATCCAACAAAGTAAAGTTGAACATTTCTTTCAATGTTTTCGATCCAAACCAACCTTGGATGCCCTTTAGCCAATGTAAATACAAAAGTCACTAGTTATAGAGCTTCTCCTCAGTATCTTAAAGCAGGGACACAGACTGGTCTCACATCAGTTTTTTTTTATGGTTACAACATTACTAATCAAAAGATCTAGATAGTGACAACAAATCTAGAGAAAATTGGTATGCAAACAGTTCATATCCTTTGAAATTCAAAAAGATAAATAAGGAAACAAAAAAATAGGTAAATAAAAAATAGGGTTTTGCTTTACATCACACAAAATACGGAATGCTTTGTCAAAAACACATTTATCCTTCATTAGCAAGCTGACAACACACCAGTAACAATGATATTCCTACCAAAATCTCCTATAGATGCTAAAATTCAAATAATTATGGCACACAAGTGTTCAGTATTCTTGAAGGGAGCTCCCTATCCAAGATGTGCTGTTGCAATGTCTCATGTTGAATAGCTTTTATTAACACACAACGACCCTTAGATAAATAAATAAATGACATCTTTGTCTATAACTCAAGAGATTGAATTACAGTCAGCTCACATTAGATAGACAAAATTAATTAAAAAAGAAAAAAAATCATTATTGGATTAAATAAACATTCTTTCCACACTTATACCCAAAATATTCAGCAATATTGAGGTAGAAAAAACTAACTTAGGTTTACCTATGACAATTGCTTTAACTAATATAAATCTCAAACTATATGTGGCCTTGACTTTATGCACAAATATATCTGTATGTACACATATTTGCATATGTGTATAACAAACTATTTCAATGCAAAACACAAATGTATATATATCGGTGTGTGTTCTCTTCATCGCTCATCCATTATTAGCTCATCACTGTTCTAGTAATATATTTGTTATCAATTTCTAAAGATTTTGTATTTTCAATTAACATTTTTATTTTTCATTACACAAAAATATTTCCACTTTGAATCACTTGCTCATCATATCATTGTTTACTGTACTGATGCCTGTCAATTCACTTGTGGACAAACAACTTCCATACCACACAGAGCACAAGACAGATCACCTGTCTGTGGGTAATCTGTATAAGTCTACTACTTGAACTGTATGCTTCCCAAATCATCTACATGATAGTTGCTTTGTGCTTTTTTCCATATCAACTAATTATGTTTCTTTATTTCCTTGCAGTTATATTAGCATGTAAGTAACCATTTTCTGATGAAGCATCAATCCATCTTGATGTCCTCTCAGCTTCTAGGTTTCCTCCAATGTTGTCACCTTCATGATCTATGTCATGAGGTCTGGCAATTAAGCTAATGGCTAAGGTATCCCCCTAGGATGAATGATAATATATGGAATACAGAGTAAATGAGTTCTGAGAGGGGATAAGTGAACCCTCCCCTTAAGACAGACACAAGAACAACCTTTGATTACCACAAAGGATAATAAGTTTATATAGATATGACATCAATATTACTTTGCAGTTGGTCAACATTATATACTTAAGAGGAGATATACTCTGAACATTCACACTTTGTTCATTCATACAAGCCCAGCTTCTCTCTCCCCCATCACAAGATTTACTCTCATGAACTCCCTGCCACTTTTTCATAAATTAGGAATACCAGACAAATGTTGGGCATCACGTGCACCAAGTATGGTGACATGCCCCTGTAGAATCCCGTAATTCCTTCGTACCTCCATGTTTCTTTGATACAGTGGCGCAAGTTGTCATAATGGGCGTGCTGGTCTTGCATGCGGGCACGCAAAACTTGGTATGGGTAAGTTGTGACAGCTGCAAAGAGTTTGGAGAGCGATGCAAAGCCAAGGTATTCCAAGGTTGTCTGGAAAAAAAGGAAAATAGGTAATCAATAATGCCAATGCAGCTGTATTAGCTATTTATTCCTAAAATTTCAGGCCTTGAGAAAATATTACACTGAAAATCTCTAGAAATTTGGCTTTAAGTAAACAAGTTTGATTGAACTGTCGACATTAGGAATTAAACTTACCAGTTTTGCATCAATGGGGAGATTGCGATACCTGTTGTACTTCGCCTTCATCTCTTCATAAGCCATAAACTGTAATGCACCATGTGATACTCCAAATACGCCAGGAACAAAACCCTGCAGAGTAGAAAATAATAAGAACCTGAAGACAAATGCTTTGGAAATAAAAGATTGGTAATGAGCATGGATACTATCATACAGGTTCTACTTAGATAGATGTCAACGTTGCTACCAATTCATTCCGATCTGATGCTCTCTTTGGATATAATGGAAGACATATACATATGAATTGTAAGATGTACACACACATTTCTTTGCAATTGTTATAACAGTAATATCATTATCTACATGCAGCCTTATATAAAACACACCTTGTATAGTCCTCTGACTCCTTCGTACTTGTAGGTCTTGACAAATGCATCGACCATCCCATTGTACCGATGAGACTCTGCTAGAACCTTGCCTGTTCCATCAGTGTATTGTAAACATAATCTGAAAAAGACATTTTCTCTTCTTAGTAATTTTCAAATCTCAGCTGGAACAAATTTACTAATATATGGAAGAAAATAAAAATGACAACAAATATAAATAAAACTCCTAGCATTGAAATTTAAGGATCTCTCTTTCAAGTGAAATACAATAAAACTATAAAAGGAAAAAGTATTCACCTGTATTTCTTTTCATAATTCAAAGACTAACAGAAATAGTCCACATACACATTAGTAAAAAAAAAAAAAAAAAAAAAAAGTATATCCAACCAAATAAACAAAAACAAAAGACCTGCCCCAACTCAGAATATCCACTCACCTGGTCTTGACAACCCAAATGGGGTTAGTCATTACGAGGGTTAGGATGCCTGCCTCTGCCGCTGCTACCATATGGAGGCTGGGGCCAATGTGCACTTTGCTGTTGCCACTCTGGAACCACGATTTGATCATGTTGTAACTGCGGGGAAAGAGAGGAAAGGGGTCAGTTGACAGGCCCTGGCATACTTTATAGTAGTAATACCACATAGTAGAATGATCATAATGATAATATGAACAGCAACAATAATAGTATCGATATGTCGGTAATGATGGCCGTTATGATTGCACTATGAATAAAAAAGTGACTGAAGTTGCTACACAAGTAATTTTGTACATTTCTAAAAGATGTAAAATGACAATTGTTGGAAAACGTATGGGTAATAAGAACAAATAAGTTGCACGTTGCACCTATATTTCTATATATAAAAAAGTAATCATGAAAAACAAACACCTCTTATCAAACGAATACCAGATAAGATAACGGAAGCTGGTGTCCATTCCTTATCATTATGAACTGGAAAGATGGTCACCCAAAAAGTTACGGACTCGACCATCACTTGCCCATCGAAAAGAGACAAATCAGCATCCCCCAACTCCCTAAAAAGAATATATATAACCCTAATTCTTTAAAAATACATCCCGCATTTCTGACTGATCATAAAAAAAAAAAACACTATGGGCACTCATCCCGATTCACGTGATCCCTACTACGCCTGGGGGAGAATGTTGCGACCCTTGGCAACTCATCGGACTCCGCGAGTTACGAAAAGGAAGCAAACCCCTTTATAGCGAACACGGGCCCGTTGTGGCATTCACGTGTGGCACTTGGGAGAGGGATAGTGAGATGGCGGGGAGGAGGGAGGGGTGGAGAAGAGAGGAGGAGTGCAAAAGGGAGAGAGGGAGAGAGTGAAAGAGAAAGGAAAGAAGGGGGGGGGAAGAGAAGGGAGGCAGGGGATGGGAGAGAGAGAGAGCCGGGCTGTACGGGTGGCATGTGGTGTGTGTGTGGGGGGGGGGTGTAGTACGCGTGTGGTACCCGTGGTACCGTGTGCAAGTCTATATTCTTATATAGACCTTGAGCGTTTGTTGCGTGTGATAGGCGTGTGGTGCTGTGATAGAGTGCGTGTGTAGCAATTTCTGGGTATAAATCCTACTTATTACATAGAAGCAGAGAAATGAGGACAGACAAATAAAGAATCGCCTCTGGAAACCTCTTCAACCATACACCCAAGTCACCAGTAAGAGAGAGAAAGAAAGAAAATAAAAAAAAACGATAACGGAGAAGAACAATATAAAATGAAGAAAAAAGACGAAAAGGAAAAGAAACCGACATCCACATAGGTCTATCCTCCCATATTTTCACACCCTAAAAGAAACACACAGCTGGCCCGAACCATACGTTATAACACCCAAAGCAACTAAAATGTACTATCATAAACACCTCATCGACGACCATCTTTCCCCAAGGTCACACTGAAGAGCCAAGATAACACATATTATAACACACAGGAGACATTACTGCTACTATGCGGTATGTCGATTAACATCATGTTTATGCAATAAACGCATGATGTGTATACGTAAATAAAAATCAACATATAGACAAAAATAGGAGGTAGACAAGTACAGAAAAAATAGGTATTGATATCTATACATAAACACATATATATGGAATCATACATATATGTAATACAAAAATTTGCATATATAATTCTAGAAATGTATGTGCATATGTACTACATATACATACACAAATATATACATTGTATACAAATAAACAAATAAATATACATAAAAGACATACATCTATTTACAACCATACAAGACGACTGATACAGACAGACAAAGGGATCCTCACAGTCCGAAAATACAAGACACCAACACAAAGGCAGAACCGATCACACCGGAGCAACAAACGATAACCCAACCAATCGAACTTCCGAACGAGAGAACGAACGAGAGAACGAACCGAGGAGACTTGCCAGAAAAACAAGAAAAAAAAAAAAAAACATGGCACGGCTATCTAAACTCTCCTGCAAGACGGCCGCACTGAATATGGCCAGGGATCACTTCGGCGAAGCTCGGGTGGTGGTGGTGCGTTGCGACATGTTCGGTGCGTTGCTGCTGTTGCTACTGCTCGCGGCTCGAAGGCAAGCAGGGAGGGAGGGAGGAGGGAGGGAGAGAGGGAGGGAGGGAACAAGGGGTGAGGGATGGAGGGAAAGGATGGAAGGGGGGTGAGGGAGGGGGGAGGGAGGGAAAGGATGGGAGGGGGGTGAAGGAGGGAGGGAGGGAAAGGCGAGGGAGGAGGGAGAGGGAAGAGGAGTGAGGGAGGGAGGGAGAGAGGGAGGGGTGGAAGAGGGGGTGTGGGAGAGGGAGCAGGGAGGAGAGAGGGGAGCAGGAGGGAGAGGGGATGAGAGGAAGGGAGGGAAGGAGAGGGAAGAGGGAGGGAAAGGAAGAGGGGGTGAGGGAGAGAGAAGGGAAAAGGTTGAGGGAAAGAAACGAAAGGAATGAAAGGAGAGGAGAGGGGAGAGAAAAAATACACATCGCACGTGACGTAGCGTTAAGAAAAGCATATTTAAATTTACCTTTCTCCGACCTCATTCATTCCGTTATACAACGGCTTGACATCTATTATCAAAGAGGAACTTGGCGTGAGTAGAAAGACGTGTATGTGGGGAGAGAGAATGGCAAATTCACCCTACCCAATTTTTTTTCCCTCGATTGGCACCCATCCACCTCTCCTTCCCCTTCTCTTCCGAATACTCTACACTACCGCCCCCCCCTCCTAACCCCGACCAAGTCACGAGACTGGCACAGTGCCACAGGCATGTCCAAAAATTACACAAGTGCCTCACGCCACGGGCACCGGGGAAATTCGGGGCCCAAGCTCTCTCCGCTCAGAGGGAAGGCAAGGCAGGTGGCAAGAAAGCCTCACATACAGAAGGTGGGTCTGCTCGTTATGGACCGTCAAATCTATTGTTATCTCTATGCGGCTCGCACCAAGATGCCTGGTGCCTGGCAACGCGGCCAAGCAAGAGCAGCTGCTAAGCATTCGACTTCCCTAGCTTGCATAACAGGTACCGGTTGGCGTACCCTGACGCGGGCGGGACCAGGAGTCGAATGATAAGCGATGTTGGTTTCGTGTTACGTACTGTGGCGCTTCTCACCAACGGCGGCGGCTCCGGAACAAGCGCATTGGATTGCAAGGTCTCCAAAAGCCTCTTGCAGAGTAGATCCATTATAGCTTTCGATACAAAAGTAAAAAGTGAATTTTCATAATTTTTATCTTCCTTTGCAAACTATTACAAGAGTAAAACATCTTCACGAGGAGCAATGGCTTCATACATAGTGCCAGGCGGTGCCACACATCGAGCGCCTTCCTGCGAGAGCTAACCCCAAGCACGCTCGCTAAATATCAAGTGCCACGCCGCCGGACGGGGCCAAGAGATGCCTAAGGCAACTTGGCGAGCACCGAGGAAAAATCTGACCGTGAACACGCAGACTTGTGCCAGACGCACGAATAACACCCAAGCCGTCACTTTCACCTTCGTTTTTTCGAAGGGCACCTTACACCACTCAGACACATGGGGTAATGTTAAGACGAACGTAATACCATTCCGACACATGAGGTGGCGTCAGGAGGGTGGCACATTCAGACACATAAAAGTTGGTGTCAGAAGGCAGTGAACCTATCCGAACACAGGGGTGGTATCAGAAGGGCGTGACACCACCCAGACCTACAAAAGGTGGCGTCAGGGGGGCGTGAGAACCCATTCGGACACATTAGGATGGTGTTCGAATACCGTTACATAGTCGTTACCGAAGCAGATCGCGTGAAATGTCAATCCCTAATAGTGAGCGTAAAAATTCATTCAATGTCTGATTGATGGATTAGTTGAAGGTCCTCGTGCCTGTAGTGCTTTGCCTTCGTTTTGCTTTTGTTTGTCTTTTCTTTCTTTTCCTCGTCTCCTTTCTCGTGTTGACGCGACGGTTGTGAATCACACGTCTTGGAAATTGGCTAAAATGAGTTCGAGAGAAAGGATCGCAATGAACGTGTGATCTTACGGTAATATGAAGGCAGTGAGTGTGCAATGATGATAATACAAAAAGAAGAAGAAGAAGAAAAAAATCTACTTCCATAATGCTGTCAATTTAATGCCAGAGATAGAGTACCATATAAAATCACTGTTTAATATGCGACATAAAAAAATATAAATTTCCCTCCCTCAGAACGAAAATAGGCAAAGCTTAATAAATGCAAGCAAAAAAAAAAAAAAAAAAAAAAAATAAAATAAAATGAAATAAAATAAAATAAAATAAAATAAATAATAAAAAAAAAAAAAAACAGAATCTCCTTCTCTGTCAAAGCCTTAAAGCCAAGTGATATAGCGCCCATTTTCATCGAATAAGATAAGATAATGCAACCTGCGACACAACTGGCTTCCCCCCTCAATCGCCAAGACGCCCAAATCCACAGTGGACTTGATAATGCCTCCCTTCGACGCCGATTGAGATTGATGAATTCCCACTAGGAGGAAAAAAAAACTGGATATGCCGTCATGTTATACATTATCGGGCATGTCCAAAATCTCTATCATAAAACTGGAAAATGATAGTTCACAACATAGTTCACCGTGGCCTTCTCCTCTTATTACTCCCACCTGTATCACCTGTTCTCTGGACTGCGAAAAGAGCTGCATGTTTTTTTTTAATTATTATTATTATTATTATTATTATTATTATTATCATTATTATTATATTATATTATCATTATTATTATCACTATCATTATTATTATTACTATTATTATTACTATTACTATTATTATTATATTATTATATATTATTATATTTATTATTATTATTATTATTATTATTATTACTATTATTATTATCATTATATATTATTATTATCATTATTACTATTATTCTTATTATTATGCTGGAGTGGCGGTATCGATCAAGAGCATCACGCGACACGTCTCGATTTCATTTCGAGGAAGTACTTCGTTCTTCTCTCTACTCTTATTCCCCAACGCCTGTCCTCTGAAACGGCTTTGTTTACTGGGGAGTTCACTGACCTATGTTCAGTGTAGGCTGGCTGAAAGGGCTGAAGAGGAGACGCAGCGAAATGATTTGTGCG